TGTGTGTGTCTCCCAGGGATTCTTTGTGTGCAGTAAAACCAGGGGGAAGGCAGTGTGTAAACCTGACTATCCATTTTCCCTTTGGATTCATGGCTTCTGTGGGGCAGCTGTGACCTTTTAAAAGCCATTGATCCAAAAAGTGAATACTGTAGAGAGCTGCAGCCCAGACTTTATTTCCCAGATACACACCTGCTGCTGATGGCAGATGGTTTGCCGCAGGGCAAAGATGAGTTTTTGAGGATTGTCGACTCTTTTGTTGATGTGATGAATGCAGATGTTTTGTCCTCTGCCGTCCTCATCGTTCCGTGCCGTCCTCCTTTGCCAGCTGCTTATTATTACAAAGTTTTTTAGGGGCGGATGGTGTGGACCAGCAGTTTCCTAACTTTTTTTAGAAGCGCCCCCTATTGTAGGGCTATTGTCAAGCCAAAACATTCACAGCTACTGCTCAGAATGCCACTGAACTTCAATTAAAATCTCTGCTGTTTAAACCAAAAATTGCAATTGGACAAACAAAGAAAAATATAGGTCAGTGCTTGAAGTTTGTTACAAGAAACCCCAGATATATATATTTTTCAAAAAATATATATCTTTTGTGCAACTAAAGATGCATTTTCAAATTCTCAAATTTCCAACTCAGGCATTTTATTAATCAAATATGAAAACATTCATTTTTTTTAATTATCGAAAGAGCAGAGAAGAAAAAAAATATTATTGCCATCAAGTCATGGGCCAGATGTGTGAGGTGTGTGGGCCAGATGTGGCCCCTGGGCCATGAGTTTGGATACCCCAATGTATTATGAATTCACCTAAAATACAAACGATGCCACCCTGTGATAAATTCACCCAGTACCGACTTTTTAGACAATACACTATATTCTATACTGTTTTATGTTTTACAGTGAAAACTGTAAATATTGACCTTTCACCCTTGGATTAACACATCAAAAAGACTGATTGGATGTCAGTCAGATTACCTGCAATTAATTGGACAACATTTGGTCTTGTGTCCTGCAGTCTTAGCCTGTAATGGTCCCTGTTATAAACATGGATGGAGGCAGGAGAGAAGAAACAGGACAGAGAAAACAGAGGTTTGTTTTTCACAACACCCACATGGTTGTGGCAGCACTGCTAGCTAACGTGTGAGTGAAAAAGTTCCAGGCGCTGTAGTGTTGCATACCTCAGTCTCATGATATCCACCTGACACTACG